GTTGCTTCGGCATCTTTATTGTATCAGGTTCTAGTTGGCGGCGTTTTATTTCAGTTCTTTGAAGGTGTCTACTTATTGTCTTTTGTGTTTTTTCCTTGAGAACTTGCTATCAGTTCTGTTGTTGCTGTTTTAGGCAGACTCCGCCTGCCCCACTCCACTCCTTTTATTCTGATGCTTCCAAGTGTGGGTTTCTTTTTCCTTCTCTTGTTTCACTTCATGGGTGTCTTGAATCTATATCGTATCATCTTACAGTTTGGGGAAATTCTTCATCGTTCTCTAATTCTCTACTCTGCTCCATTTCTCTTTCCCCTTTTCCTGGGATTCTAATCACACCCTTCTGAGACTGAGCACAGAAATATCACTACAGGTTCTAGTTCATATAAACCCAGGTTTATTCCGAGCACAATGTATTCAGACCTGTCTCTGTGATCGCTGGATGGCTGCAGACAAGCTCTATCAGTCGTACCCCCGTTTCAGCAAATGGCCCAGTTGAATCAGTCACCTCTGATGGGGGGTCTGATGGGCCCATTAAACTCAAAGCAAGGAGGGATGCTCCAAGGGCTAGAGCATTTTTTTTTTTTTGAGGGAGAGTCCTAAGGGGTAATCCTGGTAGACTTTCCTGAAGGACACAAGGCATTTTATTAGGAAGCAATGTAAAGAAAACAGAAAGTTGTGTCAAGGAATCTCCCCCCATCGCAGCAAGGCACCCGCTCGCTCTGTGAGGTGGAGGTGCTGTCCAGTCACGAGTGCAGCATTGCTCGGGGAAGGCTTAGAGGGGTGGAAACCTGCCTTCAGAAGCGTGCAGGCCGGGTGGGAGCCGGGGCCGGAAGCAGCAGTCTTTCTCTTCGATATTTTTGTTTAATGAAAGTGTCGGTGACTTGGTCTCAGCACCTGTTGACTTCTCTAGGACCTCATCCGATTGTAGCTCTCTGGTACTCTTTCTCCTGTGTTTTCATACCTCTGTCTCCCTACTGTTCATGCAACAATGTAGCATGTTGTTGTTCCATGCAGCTCTGTCGTTCATGCAACAATGTAGCATGTTGT